ACGACATTAATTCCTGTTTTTACTTCGGTATTCTTGGCGGGGGACATCGCCGTCACTTCTCAGTTTAAAATTTGCATTAATAGATAAAATAATTTTTTTGCTTTCACTATTGCTTATCACATGATCCATGCTTTTCATGTGCATTTTTCATCATGCGACTCCACTGATAACTTGTTTAATTTGATCGTTGTAAATGGTCAGCAGGGCCACAACAGACAAACCATTAGACATGTTTCACGCCGAACCCAAATTTCTGTTTATACATAAATACCCGTACCTAAATCTGTTTTATTTCATGGGTTCGCGAGAGAGGATATGTGAATCTGTTTGTCGAAACCTGATTTATGTTTCTTCGTTACTCCTGTCACAGATCATTATTATCAAATTTTTTTTATTCACTGCTAGATGAACACCCATATAAGTTCCTGGACAAAACTTTAGCTCCTGCGATTCTCATCAAATAGCTACCGCAAATGTCGAATCATATGTCGACAGTGCAATCGTCCTTGGCATATTCTTTCCTTGAAGTCGCGCAAACGTCTCGAACTGTGTGTGTATGCATGTCTGACGCATGAAAGAAAGACGTTACTCAACTGCTGCGTCATCCGGTGCTTGTTGGTGCTCAGCGTCGAGCAAAACCAATGCAACGTCTACAACTAATTCTTGGCCGACTTTATCTACGATCCGGCAGAAGAAACGAATGTCAGACTGGAAACGTTCAGCTTCCATCAGCCAAGCCTCACTGCTCTATCTTTTCCACTCACAACATCATGACACTTGCATCGAGACGGCACTGAAATCTCGTTAAATCCACACATATAGCATCATCTTGTTTGGTGTGTATGCAGAGAAACAGCCCCTTCGATCTGCGGACAGCAGCCCTCCATGCGAACTTTATCTGGAGAGTTTTTCATTAACGGATTAAGGAGCTTGTTCATCGGCATTCGGTTTATGACAGATCTTTGTCGCTACCGCAACAGCTAACAAGAATACATTCCAAACCGTTCCTCCTTGGCATGCGTCCCGTACTTTGGTTTTATTCGCACGTCGTCTATAGCACGAACTCTGAGGTTAGTCTCATAAACAAATAACGTCAATCACACGGTTTTCTTAAATGGCTAAAGTGAAGAAAGTATTCCTGTGACAAAAATATGTATCATCTCGTACGGAAACGTGATATTTTAATACTTTGTCTTCATCATATCCCCCAAAATTACCTTCAGAAAATGCTTGATTTGTCATAATAGAAACCACAATATCAATCTAAACAAAAACACACTGTTTGCTCACCTAGCAACGTGTCTTATTTAAATTAATAAGATGCTAAATTTTTATTAGTTGAACAGCGGATCACTTTTCTACAGTGTGCGACTAATGTTCTTAAGCTTTGGGTCATACTTGTTGACGAGGATCACCAATGAGTGGTACGAAGCAGTGATATTTGATTTCAAGCGAATTGAGAGAAATTATACCACTGAATTCTTCACCTTTCCTCGCAAGCATTATTCCTCTTCAAGGAAAAGAGCTTATGACAAATGTCTTGCTCTTTTGTCGCATTTGTTTTCTATTGCTGCGGTGCAAATTTAGCCTTGGCAGGGCTCCAAATACGTAATATCAAACATATGCAAAAATATCAGCGTACATGTAGTGAGATGGCGATGCTGTTGTTTTCATCAATCGACTATTTTCACTGGGTAAAAATACATACCACTAAATTCCACTGAATGAGAACTCGTCATTTGATTTCGCACTTTAATCTTCACCGCCATGGACCTAGGAAAAGCTCAGTTATTTTAGAAAATTATGAGTGTCAGCACTGGATGCGATGGATCTTTACTCAAGAGCTTAGAATGTTTTCAAAGCCTCAGAAATTCATTGCGTTTGGGAAAAGAGATGTGTGGAATTTTAACTTACGTTTGTTTCGCCATATCGAGCTTGCGCTAAATGTTACTAGGAGGCAGGATAATTCGAATTGCATAACTGAAAAATGTCTCTATCACTAATAAAGAAGTGCTTCCAGAATTCCTGTTTTACTTTCATTAGCTACGTCATATAATTTCAATGAATTGGGATTGTCTTTATTTGCAGTAGGGTTATTCTGAACCAGCAAAGAACTTTTATGACTATTTAAGCAAGCTCTAAGTTTAAAACGGATCCAGGTTTTAGCAATTAGATCTCTTGATTAATTTAATCGTATTTGTTTAAATTAAGGCGCTTTCAATAAATTAATCAATTTTAATTCACCACAAAAAGTCAAATAAATTTGAAAGTTCCTGATTCTTTTCGTAATTCTCGTCACGAAGCAATGCGTGTAATTTTTTGATTTTACGTGGAGAAACATTATTTGAAAGGGCTATAATCCACATAGTTACAATTTTAATAAATTGGCTGCCGTTTGGATTCAGTTCAATGCTTCATTAAAAACCAATGCAAAATTATCGACATAGAAACCTATCAATTATCAGTTTATAAGACAAATGCCTTATCAGTTAATTAATTACTATCATGGTAGATATTTATACTCATTTCAATTCATACTTAAATTGAAACAAAACGTAATTAATTTATTTATGAATTGGACTTTGTTTCCGTCGTAGACCCTGGACGAAAAAATTTACTAAGTGGACCTTAATCGTTCAAAGCTTACGCACTGAAAAATTGACCCAGGCGCTATTTGACCTCCAGCATGACCATAGTATGCCAGCAGGTTGCCAGAATTTTTCCCAGGCCTTCAATTGATCGTTTCGCTATATCACCTTATTTTCCTTTCAATAAATTACCATCAAGACATTTCATATAGAGCAAACCTTCCAAAATGTCTAAGTAACCTAAGCCTAAGTCTAAGTACAAATAACCTTAAGTAAAAGACGCAAATTTTCTTGTACTTTTATAAAGAATGTCGATTGAAGATCATTTTACGAAATATAGGTATAAAAAATCAAACTTTTCATGACCATTCACAACGATGATTTACAAAAACTACAGCAACAATGTGAACAACATGTAAAATTATTTTGATTTAAAGGTACAAAGACAGACAGAGAAAGTGCACAAGTTCAAACTAATTGTTGACGGTTCAAAAGAAAGATAGGGAATAGGACTGACTTCAAATAAAATTTACATGTATAAATATGAAGGGGAGATTAGATTTTGATTCATTATCCGCTTGAATGACAGCTGTATCTTCTTTTCCTGAGACATGGTTACAAGTTACAGTGGGTTACAAGGGCGATGTACAGTCATTCATCTGCTGACGCGTTGCGACGCAGAGGAATAAAAGGAAAATATAACAGTTTGGTTAATCAATTAATATTTACTGTCAGTATGGGCCTGACGAGTAAATATTGGAATAAATTCTGCAACTTGCATGGAGGCACAGTCGGTGGCGGTGCCTTGCTTCGCTACATGTCAAACAATGACTATAAGGAATGGAGAGCAATTGGAGGAACTAGAAAACAGTGTGGCGTGGCGCGCCTAGTTATTGACTTCTCCTTACCACTACTGACGACCAACTATGAAGGACGTCTTTCCGTGCTTTCGGCAGCCGTTCCTCAAGTCAGATGCGATCGGTCATCTACCAACCAGGCACACCAGGCACTCTTCGCTACGCAGGATTGACTCGACTTGACTCGACTAGACTCGAGAGCGTAGCCACTAGCCACAATGAGCAGCTCCGCCCGCGATCAGCGATCACCATCGCCGCAACTGGACGCCAACACACGTCTGAAGTGAACTGAGACGCAGCAGCCAAAGCAGACAGAACTCACTCTCTTTCGCCTGAAAACTTTCATTCTGCGCTGATTCACGCAGTGGCAACACGGTAGCAAGAAGAAGGAGCCAAGCCGGTTTAAAAATAGAGACGGTCGTCGACGGCGCTCAATGGCACTCCAGCAACTGACTAAGAATTGCCGAGCGAAACTAACGCCAGAATAGCTGCTTGGTGTTGGTGTTGAGCTGTCGTCGTTCTCGTTCTCGTAGCGATGGTAGTCGAGGTGTCGATGGAGCACCAGTTCAGAGGCGGTTCGGCTGTGGAATTAATTTTAGATCGATAGATGGCTCTAAAGCTATAAGTAGTATTCGGGAAATGGCCACTGGACCGACAGACCAACTCACAAGGCTCCGTGAAGTGACCTTCGTCCTTGAGACCGAACTGAACCGACCTGAACCAGGCCAGGCACAGCATAGCCCAGCGGAACCGGAACCGGAACCGGCTGTCTATGTGGGTCATCGTACCTACGCCGGCCCAGCTCTCGATGACCATCCTCGTAGCCGCACGCCTCGAACGTGTCGAGTTAAAGGAAAGCAATCCTTCGTCAGATGACAGCCAGCACTGAAAACAAGTTTTATGGCCTCTTAACCGCTTTTGAGGAGTACAGCGCGATGACGGGACTTGACAAACTAGCGACGCAAGCATTCATTCGACTGTCCACTTGTTTTTTAAAAAAAAGCAACTCATTAACAACACCACACTAAACGAACATCCTTCCTCGACCGTCTGACAACTTGCTATCAAACTTTTCACCGTAAGAACTTAGTGGAGGACCTGAGCTTCAACCTTTGAAACAGGAGGGCATTTGGCGTCCTTTCTGGCTTCTTGAATTCCAGCCATGAAACTTACATGCACGCTAAAAGGCTAAATTCTTTCCGCAATGTCATTTGTCAAATCTCAGATTTTTGGCCTTTCGCGTTCTGCTGAACTTGAAAATACGATAACCCACTTCTCTAACCGTTGCAGCGCAGATTCGAAAGGTCACGGATTGCGGAGCGGATAGCAACGACTTTGTGCTGCTCGTCTATTCACAGACTCGCTTTGCAGTGCGTTTCGAAACTTTGTCTGTCCAATGGCAAAAAAACTTCAAATGCCATTTTTTTAATGTTTGAAATAGCTCAGGACACAGATGTCTTCACAATAACAAATAGTTACATATTCAGTTGAACTGTCAGTTCGTGAAACAATCGCATCATTTTATTGTAAACGTGAGGCAATCCGCTTTCGGTTTTCATATCAGTTTCTATATTCGATCGCGACTCATATATTAACATATTGTTGGCATGCTTAGAAAGCTCTGATGATGAGGGCAACCCAGTTGAATCGGTTAAAGTGATGAATTTCGATGAATCCTTCTTGGAAGAAATCTGACACTAAACGGAGCATCTGTCTGATCATGTTTTTGTATCGAATAACTGTTTGTAAAGGTTCTTTCTCATGGCGTGTATCGTTTTTCACCAAAGCAATTGTTATGTTCTTTAATTACGCCCAAGCAGATACACTAAAACTGATCCGGGCAATTTTACCTTTAGGATCTTGCTTGTTCACGAAGAACGACTCAGTAGCAATCTTGTACAACATTAATTTCAACATTGGCAATATTCTACATTATAATCATTTTGATTAAGATACATTTTTATGAATCACTCCAAAGAAACAAAGCGAATGAAAGGCAAGCCGCAGGTAGCGTTATGCGGAATTTGTTGCCATTGTTTGTAATTATCATCGAAGGCTAGCAGGGCTAAAACAGCAGAGCAACCCAGGTTTGAAATGTCTGACCGTTCAAAATGGTGCTCACATTAGTATCAGTCAATATTCCTTGTTCCAAATCGCCAGCACATTTTCCTCTGCTAAGACCTTACTAGTTAATTACTGTACTTAAAAGTGAAGCATCCAAAGTGAAGCGTTGTGAACATATATCCATTCTCATTTTCTTCATTTTACGGAATCAAGCCGAGCTTCCGGAGTCAATCGTTGAGTTCTTCTGAATGTTTTCTCGACTGGCTAGATGGCTGAGTCTACTTCTCCTCGATTCGTTGTGTCGTCGCAATTTGACGCACTTCACAGATGAAGGATCAGTTCGCCCAGATTTATTTCAACATCCGCACCGCTATCATTAGCGGTTGACTGTTCAGAGGTGTTTTAGCTTGTTAATTTAGTTTATCGACAAACCAATTAATAGTATCCGACGATCATTACTTTCGACAGAAATCTGAGAATGTTCGTCTTTTTGGCGTTCACTTGCAGCGTCCACTCACTTGACTGCATTACACGTACTTTCCATTAGTA